TARTGTAGCCATGAAACAACACTGACATTATACTGTATAAAAGGAAACTATGTACTAAGATGCATTAAATAGAACACTGGTGATGGATTACTTCATGGGCATGAAATTATTGCTCCCTCACACTCAGCAGTGTTTACTACCCAGCTAAAGAACTGTACTTTTGTTTGTACTTGTACTTACTGTCTTGTAAGATTGAGAGAAAAAAAAAGAAACAAATCAGTGGGAAACAATGTRAAGAAAGCATGTGTTTGCCTTTACTGTAACAACAAAATATTGATGTCCATATTTTTCTGCYAATCCTCACTGCTACATACCTATTTCCATTCTTTAAGAAATGGTGAAGAAATCTTTTCTTCTTCCATATAGATGACTGTTCTTCTTATAGTGTAACACCTTGCACWTTTTTTCCCTTTATATTTCATGCCATTTTTGATCTTTTTATGTTAGTCAAGGATATTTTGAATTTGTATTCCGCCATTCTCTGACAAAGTGTCTTTTGATCCTGATAGGAAATGTGGTGTAGAAAACATCAAACTAGATTTGAGAGAGTGGATTTGAGTCTGCTGTAACCGCTATAACTGAGTGCTGAGAGCACTATGTGGGCCTGAAGTTCTCTTTCTTCYTAGTCTTAAGTGATGTAGGGTAAAAATCAGTGACTCCAGTTCTTATGTGTCTTTAGCAAGTGTTCCAACCATAAGTATACCACAGATAGAAAATTTGAACAGAGTTAATTTCATTTTTAAAAGTGAAATTGGATTAGAGAATTTTAACACTAGTCCTATAAGGTGTAAATGTTGCTCATAAAATACTAGTCTAGAAATATAATATAGCATTTCAGTGGGAAAAAAAAGTTCAGATGTAGTGTTTAAACAATTTCATTTATAARTAAAGAAAGGTCATTTATGAATGAATTTTAGCAGATAAAAATTGAACTGCARTGCCTTTAAAGCTATGGATAATATTTATTAAGGACAAAGATCAACAAATGGTGTTTTCTCCTGGAGAACCAATGTAACTCAATGCAGAGAATATTTTTTTTTTTTTTTTTTGCAAGCTATTTCAAAACAAGACTTATAGCAGTCAAAACTAGTATTTTATTCCAGTAAGACTGAAGACTGTTGTAGAGATGCCTACTTTGAAACAGAATTTGGAGCTGTGAGCTTTAGACTGCAGATACAGCACAYTGAGGGTCGTGGTGCTTTGAGTAGGGTCCCAAAACATTATGCTGAACAGGGAGTGCTTTAAAGCAAGTACACTGGCTAGGGAGCTTCTTAAGTAGGCAACAATAAAACTGATAAAAGGATTCATCTGCCATTCTAGATCCCTCTAGAGAGAAATGTTTTCTTTTCTGTGGTATTGACAGGTTTTGAGCTGGTTTGAGAAAGTAGGTTTCAGTTTTTCTCTTTTTTTTTTTTTTTTTTTTCAAAAACAGAGCAGTGTCTATGCTTTCTTAAAAGTCGCAGCTGCTGTGATGCTTGTACTACTGATCTCCTTTTCTCTTCCACCCACCACTTAGTGAACATGCACATGCACACCCACACACTCCTCTTCCTGATGCCAGTGTCTAGAAAACTGTCAGAGATATGAAAATCAACATTTAATTTTCTAYTCTGCCCGAGTGAATTTAAATTTGTATTCCCCTGCTTCTCAATGTAAGCACTGAAATCCTATTGAGATGCACTCCCCTATGCAACTCCTTCCCAACTTTCTACATTCTTATTATTGCAAAACATATGATCTCTAACAATACTGTGTCACCTTGAAGAGTTATTTTGACTTTTCAGTCCTCAGTTTTTGATACCAATWACCTAGAATGGCTACTGTATAGGCATTTTTTCAATGAGAAATTGAGATGAATGTAACATAGTTAAAATGTGGAATATACCTATACRTAGGTGTATATATATCTATACAAAGACTGAGTTCTCATTTAAAGATTCTTGTTTGAAGAAACATGTTATCTGGTCTGGGATTTGCTTGCTATCGTTATTTATGCCATCTCTTTAACACAAAGAGAGAATAAGGGAATGTGCTGAACTTTGATTCAAAGCCACTTATAATGGTTTTTTAAAAGCTGACTTGAAAGGCTGAGAGAAATCCAGATTAATCTTATTGATTCTGAAAGCAAATAAGGTATTGCTGYGCATCATCTTGGATCACATCAGGAGTTAGATGAAGTGTAAGGTTGGTATTGGATTTTAATAGGAATAGATCTTCAGTGGGACTTTCAGCTGAAATAGYGTGATGGGAAATGATAAACTAATAGGTCTCTCTGCATATTTCATTTGTTACCTGATCATCTGTTACAAATGAAAGTTCAGAGATTTTTGATTGTGTTTCTTCTAAACATACGTAACAATTTCTAGCCAGAGAAGTGTTCTGGGTGTAGGCTGTATAAGGAGAGTTCCAGAGCACTGTTCTTCCAGTGTTTCTGCAAAGGATGCTCTAGTACACAGCAAAAGTAACAGTGGTCACCAGTCCGGGTGGAACAGTGATACACAACATCTGAACAGCAGCAAAATTCAGGGACAGTGGATTTTCTAGGCTGTAGTTCTACTGTTTGAAAATGCTTCCTGCTGGCAGCATGGCTTTTAGGCAGATGGTACTGGCATGGTTCTCATATGTTGTCATTCACAAAAATACATTGATAAGACAGTCACACATACTGAAAATGTGAAAAGATTCAAAATATTGGGAAAAAAAGGAAATGTTGGRTTCCAAAAATAGAGTATGATTAAAGCTGTAACCATCACTGAACTTTCCCTTAGGCATACATAACAAACATTGAATAGATTTGTCTGCTTACAATTAGACACTTGTATTTGATTTCTTATTTATATTTAACTTATAACTCACAGTAGAGAGCTATGACTCACTTGTCTGTGTGATGTATAAAGGAGATCAGACAGAATCATGCTTTGSAAGTGTCTGTTGCTCACCACTGCTGTGACAGGTTCTAAAAAGCTGTCTTTTGGGTTGTGGGTTTCTCTTACAAACAAAGGCTGAGAATTGAGGTTTTTCAGTATGGGAAAGAGAAGGCTTCAGGAAAATCTTAGAGCAGCCTGCYGGTAACTAAAGAGACTTTAACTTCAAGAAAGCTGGAGACGGTCTGTAGTGATGGGACAAGGAAGATTAGCTTTAAACTGAAGGAGGGTAGGTTTAAGCTACATATTAGAAAGAAATTCCTCACTACGAGGGTAGTGGGGCACTGTCACAGCTTGCTCAGAGAAGTTGTTGATSTCCCGTTCCTGGAAGTGCTCAAGGGCAGGTTGGATAGGGCTTTGAGCAGCCTGGAATAGTGGAATATGTCCCAGCCTATGGCAGGGGTGTTGGAAGYAGGTGATCTTTAAGATCCCTTCTAACCCAAACTATTCTGATTTCTGTACTGTAAACCTTTTGTAAGACCCATTACAAGCTGAAGTTACCTACATGTCTGCTGACATGACCARTGTTTGTATCACTTTATAGACATGAAAATCTGGTCTTAGCTCCAGCTAGAAAAAGACCTGGATACCCTAAAAAGCCTGYGTCAGCTTTACATGCTCAGAAGCCTTAGGATATCTGTGTCTTGAATGGCAGAAGTGACCTACATGGGGACAATTGCTTTGAGCCCAGCGATAGCCAAACTGCCTGAACAATTCACCTGAGCAACTGCTGTGTATACAATTCAGAATAAATTTAATTGCTGTCTAGGCTGCATTTTCTATTTCTGCTGTAAGGGAGGTTTTGACACTCAGTTGCTGCATAAAGCTACACCAAATTTAAGTGCCTTAAGCTTAAACTGATCCTGCTTTTAAACACCAAAAGGTTTTATTGACAATCACCACAGACCTTTCTCCCTAATTTTTATAGAAAGGGAAATATTGTCAAGCTAATGTTTCATGTCTCATTTTATTTTTAAATTCTTCAAGCTTTCATTCAGTACACAGGATATTTTTCATCTTTAATTCCATTACTCTGKTTTTTATACAGTCTACTATTTAAGAAAACATAGATGAGCAATGTGATTTTAAATATTTTAAAAACAAGTACTGCAGGTAAAACTTATACCATGCATGATTTTTCTTCACTTATCTAAAGTGCAGTGTTGTCATGATGCTGTTATACACATAAATTAATAAACAAATACTACTTTTAAATATGATCACTCATTTCAAAACAGTGTTTTTGTCTTCTGTACAGTGAATGTAAAATTCTGAAATTTCATTAGTCTGCATATTTTAACCAATAGCTGTAAGCAGTCCTAATGCCACAGTTTTTGTTTAAGGAAATATATGACTGAATATTAGTGGGAAATTAAGTAAATAAACCAGAAATTAAAATAAATTTTCTTTTCTACTACTCATGGAGAAAACATTTATACAAAATACTTGACTATCCTATAGAATTTAATAGTTATTAGTCCAGCGATGATGTAACTTAAGAAATGCATGTCCATCTTGACCTAAACAAAATAAATTCTGTAACAACTGTGTTTAATTATGTGTTTTACAATGTGAAAATATAATTTTCCACTGGAACAGAACTCTKTCTTAATGGCAACTTTTATGAAGGGTACAGTTCTTTTTCTGACAGAGTAGAAGGAATATCTTTAAGACAGGAACAACATTCCACTCACCCACTTCTTGCTGAAAATGGAAAATGTTCACATACATTTGTACCTGCCTGTTTCTGATATAGTTTCATAAGTCTTTACGTAATTAAATAGACATCATTAATTGTCAGCACTCCTTTGCAAAACAGTACAATGGAGAATTTTTTTTTTTACTCTTTGCATATTAATGCCTACTTCAAAGACTACTTAGCCTGTATTTTCCAGTACAAGAGAGGCTTTTTATGTTATAATCCATTTGAAGACTGAAAAGSAGACCAGTTTTCTTCTTTCTGTAAATAATGCTCATTTGTGTGCTTTTTATGTATTGAATTGGATAGACCTTGTTATTCACCATTAAGCAATGTTCATATTCTTAAATTTTYGTGTATGTCTTGCTTTTTTGCAGACTAAAACTGGTATTGCATTGTTGTATGATGAAGCATCTGAAAATGCTTATGACATCCGACTGAAGCTTACAAAAGAGGTATTAACAATTCAAAAACAAGATGTCGTCTGTGTTAGTGGAAGTGATCACAGTGCAAATGTAAGTGCTTCTATATCTCTGTGCTTTTGGCTGCACTCTTTAATGTCTTCTGCAGAGGTCACCTTATTGTATTGGAGTGCAGGAGATATTATTGGGTAATAGAAATACATGTAATTTTCAGTTGTTGGGTGTTCTGTGCATGCCTACATTCATGAGTGTAAAAACTGCATTTTTGCTATACATTCTTTATGATGACATTTACAATCTTAACAGGAGTAAAAGTATCTATAAATACCGATATTAAAGCGTTCTTCCACCAAATATTGCTGGGCCATTAAGTTAAGAGAGAAAAAGAAAAAATATTTCCCAGTGAAAGCATTTGAAGAGTAAATAATACACCCAAGTCTTCTTCATTAGTGTATCAGACAGTATGTCTGTTCAAGGRCATTGAGCTGACTGAGAGAACACTTCAGAGGCACTTATTTCAATTCTCTTTCAGGYGCAGATGGAGCTTAATCAGCACCAGCATGTATGTGGTGCTTTTTTTCCCCAAAATTCAGTTATACTGCTTTTTCAAAACCTGTGTTGCCTCTAAGCTGTAGAGGGATCTTCTGTGTGACCATTTGGTAGTGTCACTAGATAAACTGGTGGCATCTGGCATAAGCAATACAGCAAGGGAGTCTAGGTCATCAACCTCCCTAAGCAGTGTATTTAATTTCCKATAAACAGTGTTCCTCTTGAATTTGGAATACCTATACTTAATTTTACTGAGTAAAATCAATTTCATGAACTTTGCTTCAAGTACACAAGTTATGGCAGCTTCCTTAGAGGGGCCAAGGGAGAGTGTTTTTGTCTGCTTACTGTATTGCACATGTCGTGTCAACTTAAAACCTGGCACTTGGGGACATCAAGTGAGTTTGTGATACTTTGCTAAGAATTAGAAGCAAAAAAAGTATATGATGGGTATCWGTATGTGTATATGTGAGTATGTTAGAGAGAGTCTGCATATATACCATGAGAATTTTTCATTCCTGCCACAGTAAACATTTGTATAAATTGTTTAATACCATACATAAAATAATTTTAAATAGCTTTTAGCAGTTAGAAACATTATATACTTGCCCATGGAATACTGTGGAACATGACTTGCTCTTTAAAATTGTCAGCAACTTTGATTGGTGGAAGACATGTCCATTTCTGATTGGTTTGCTGGGATAAGTTTAAGTTTCATTCATCAGTTTTGCATATACTTTCTGCTTCATTGAGAAGCATGACAAAACACAACTTTTCTTTTTTTACCAGGCATTGCTGGTAATGCTGATAAGTTGTATGCAAACTAGTTGCAAGAGTTAGTAAAATATCATGGGAGTTCAGTACRTAGTGTCTGTGCATATAATTATACATGATTGCTATGGACGCATAGCAGTCATGGTGTTTAAATGACACCATGTACTGTGTATGAAACTCATAGGAAAAGAATCAAAATTCTATCCTRCATAGTCCTAGGTTACTTCTTGATTGAATCAACATAAGCTAGCTGCATCTGAGAAAATATTGTATAAAATCTTTATGCATTGATCAACACCCAAAATGCAGCAAAAAAACCTCCAAATCACCAAAMACTGCCAAACTCCAAATTAAAGCAGTACAAAAAAACAAAAAACAGCCAAAGAATCCAAGTCTGCATCATCCTTTTAGTATCAAGATTTGGATTGATTTTGATGCATTTTACTCCTACATTTTATGCGTATCCTAAATAGTATTTCCTGGTTGAAAACGGGACAGGGAGACAAGCTTTGATAATATTTAAGGAATTGAATTTTTAAATAAATTCTGGAAAGTAATAGACCCTGCAGAGGAGGCATAACTGGGATATGTAGCCACTGTGACAAAATGAGTCCAAGTTCCTTGGTTGTCTTTCATCACCAGTAATGATCACAATAATGGCAGAGCCTAGAAAGGAGTGATTYGTAGGACTGTGGCAGAAAGAGACAGTTTTTCTTGATTATAGATGTAGTGTTAATGTGTAAATGCAAGTGAATTTCAAATATAATTCAGATAGTAATTTAGGTTGGAGTTGCAAAGTATTTTGAGGCTCTGGGTGTGACACCCATTCAGAAGGAATTTCTCTCAACTCATACTATTGAGAAATAAGAGTGGGCAGTCCTGCCAAGCTGCCTGTTACTGGAGAACATTGTTAATTCTTTTCTCTTATTTTCCCTAAGTGTTCTCAATGAAGACTCCGAAAACTAATTTTAAGGGTCTGAACTGTTGTTTTTTTTTGTGTCCCTTTTAAGATCTCCCCAAGGTCCCCTTCTGAAARTGCTATCTGCAATCCTCACAGGATTCTTTTGACAAAATCTAATGGGAAAAATGGATTAGACTGGCTTCATGACCATATTCACTTTTTCTGTATTATACTTTGAAACATATAAAAAATTCAGGACAAATAAGATTTTATATGAAGGCAAATTGAGTGTAACACGAAGATGAACACTGTCTTTTTTTACTGTATATGAATTTCTAGTATATAGGAGCTCAAAAGCAGAAATTGGAATCAGGCTGAAATAGCTGGCAGTTCTCTAGCACTGATCTTGGTAARTTTTACAATTACATGACATAAAATAAAATAAGTTACATGACATAAATTCCAGAGATAAATGCTTTATATTTCAAGTGTTTCAAGATAATAGTTTTCATCCCTGTTCTGTATGATTCAAAATATTAATAGAAAATTGTAACCTGAAAGTCAATGCTACAGCAGTCTTAAAGGATCATACTGTCTTACTGATTTATTTTCCTTTCTCTATACTTTTTCGTTCTCAGGTGCTCAAAGTTAATCTTTGTTTTACACATGGCCATTCATCAAACCATTTCATTTGCAACAAAAATAGAAATAACTTTAGTCTTCTCTTTGTACTCACCTCAGATGCATGGGAGGAGAAAAAAACTGGGATTAGAGTAACTTTTCCTCTTAGATGGGATATGTGGATGGAAAATTATTGAAAAAGAAAGTTCTGTTTCCACTTGTCTTTATACTTTTTTCTCCAGCCACTTATATGGGAGACATTTGTTGGATTCATTTGCTTCCAGTCTCCCTTTTACTGACASGTTCATTAATCCTGAGGAGCACTGAGGACAGGATTTGCACTTGTGCATATTTAGCTCTGCTAGTCTGGTGTGGTTGTGGATGCTGCACTGAGGACTGGCAAAGACATCAGTGATCACTTGAACTACTGTGATGGGTTGGACTTTCAGCAATCAAGATTATTTCCAAGRATGAAAGACTAAGTATAAAATACCTTTTACTGCCATTATCTAGGTCTATTCCTGTTCCATATTTTGTCATCTGTCATTCATTTAAGTGCTACTTTTAAGCATTGAGAAAGTTTCACCTTCGATGAGAAATTTTATACCTGGCTTTCTGTAATTTAATGACAGTTAAGCCCATTTCACTACCTCTTGCAATTTTGRAATTGGATATATAGTACTGAGAGAAAAACATGGTCTTTGAAATCCAAGGGGTATATAGAAAAAATAATGGTAAAAAAGCTGCTTCTTTTTTTTTTAGTATTCAGGTTTTATCCACAGTGAACAAGCTGCTTTTAAGTACCTTTAAAAATCCTTGTGGATGTGGAGCCAATGAAGGAAGTAATATTTTGCAGTGCTTTTTATATAACATTAAATTCATACAAATATTTTTCTAGATACTATTTATATAATTTATATTTATGTGAGTAAAGATTGCATCAAGGTGCAATCAGATCTTTAGGCCTGGCAAATTCTAGTGTTCTGAGCAAGTCTTCATGACTTAGTGTTACGTTTGGGGTGCTCAGATTTTTAGGTTAAAGGAGAAGGTAGGGTGTGTCAGAATCACGGTGGTTGCCCTCATGTATAAGGCAACAATTGGAATGTATCAGGCTGTGTCTTGGGGTGGATGACAAGCAAATTGAGAGTTTATGATGTAGGATAAGGGGGCAGAGCAGCAAGGATGCTGTGGGTGTTTGCTGCAGGCTCCTGGTCRGGAGGAGGCTCTGTATGGGCARCTCGGAGCAGCCTCACAGCCACCAGCCCTGGTTCTTGTGGGGGACTTCCACCACCCTGGCATTGCTGGGAATGCCACATGGAGCACAAACAGCCCAGGAGGATCCTGGAAAATGCTGATGGCAACTGCCTGACACGGACAGTGGAGGTTCCCACAAGGAATGGTGAGCTCCTTGATCTTACACTAAAAAACAGGGAAGGCCTCRTTGGAGGTGTGAAGGTTGGGGGCAGCTTTGGCTGCAGTGACCATGAGATTGTGAAGTTCAGTATATAATAAGGAGAAGCAGGATAGTAAGTAAAATTTTAACCTTCRGCCTCTTTAGGGCTAAAGAGCTACCTTTAGCCTCTTCAGGGGATRTTCTTGGAAGARTCCCATGAGAACAGGCCTTTCAGGGAAGAGGGGTCCAAGTAAGTTGGTTAATATTGAAGGATCATTTCCTCCATACTCAAGAACAAACCATCCCAATGAGCAAGAAATCAGGTAAAAGGGTCAAGAGACATACATGGATAAAAAGGAGCTCCTGTTCATTTCTCAAGTGTAAGCATGAAATGCGAAGGAGTTAGAGGCAGACCACTTGGAATTAATATTGTGAGGTTGTCAGCATAACTAGAAATTAAATGAAGGCTAAGTCCACATGGAATTAAATCTCACCAAGGATGTCAAGGACAACAAGAAGGGCTTTTTAAAATACATCAGTAACAAAGGGAAAACTAAGAATATTGTGTGCCCGTTACTAAATGGAGAGAGAGGATCCTCATAACAGAGGACCTAGAGAAGGCAGAATTGCTGAATTCCATGTTTGTARTGGTCTTCACTGGTGAGACCAGATCTCTGGAATCTCTCACCTGGGAGACTGGGATAAAGGACTKCTGGAAGGCAGGTTTCCCTTGGTCGAGGAGGATTGGATTAGAGAACACCTAAGCAAACCTAATATCCACAAGTCCAAGGGCCCTGATRGGATGCATCCACGAGTGCTGAGAGRGCTGCTGGACACCACAGCAAGGCTGCTCATGAT